TTAGCTTCATCATTATTGACATCATCTAACAGTTTCATTCCACCACCACCACCAATGCCAGGAAGTTACATTCCACCACCTCCTCCTATGCCAGGAAGCTGCATTCCTCCACCTCCTCCTATGCCAGGAAGTAGCATTCCACCACCTCCTCCTATGCCAGGAAGCGGCATTCCTCCACCACCCCCTATGCCGGGAAGTGGCATTCCACCACCTCCTCCTATGCCGGGAAGCGGCATTCCTCCACCACCTCCTATGCCAGGAAGCGGCATTCCTCCACCACCCCCTATGCCAGGGAGCGGCATGCCACCCCCACCTCCACCGATGCCAGGCATTGGTATGCCACCTCCACCGCCTCCTTTTCCATTTGGAATGCTACCACCGGCTCCTCAACCACATATCGGTGAGTATTTTAATGATGGTCTTCAATATTTCCTATTCAGTAAGATTTTTCATGAACAGTGCGCAAAAAAACTATAACTCCTGAATTACTTTTGATCTAATGATTGGATTTTCACATAATTAGACTCAATGATTGAGATTTGAAGGGGTAACCAAAAATATGATAAATATTTTAAGATACGAAATAAAACACAAACATGCACTTTCTCTAAGTAAACATACCTTTTCTCCCTCTAGCAACTCTGGCGGTTTCATGCTATTTTGGATGTGTTATTCTCCTGTAATTTATAGCAGTTATAGAGAAACTTATTAACATTTAGAAGCAAACACAAATGGTTAGAAGCTTTTGTCACGTTAACGTTAAGTTATACAATACGATTTGCTAATTTAAAGTGCTAAAAAACGTGCTTGAGCAGAAAATTTCTTTTATTTACCTAATCACATATAATTATTAATCAATTAATCTAAAATTTTAATGAAATTTAATCAATGTTTTCTCTAAACATGTTATGGATTATAAGCTAATTTTTAGTGGGAAAATAGTGTTAATGAAAAACACGTGTATTTATCAAACACAATTTTACTAAAATTCGTCTGCATATCAAACATAATAAATGAAAACATTTAAAAAATACAAATCTTTTTCAGCTTTCTATAATATCGAGCTTTCAGCTTTATTTTTTTATTTTTTGCTGCTCCATTAAATGAACTCTTGATTGATACTTCACTAAAAAATTGTGGTTAAATACATGTTCTGTTGTATGCTGCTGAAAGATACAAAACAATCCATTTAAGTCAATATATAATTTGAAATTAATTTTTGTCCTGTCCTCAAAATGGCCTCTTGATATTTTACTAAAAAATGTGCGAATGTTTACAAAAATATGCGACATAATGTGTGTGGTGAATTAGAGGATCAGTTATAACGATCTGACTTTACCAAATATATAATTTGAAATTAATTTGAATTTTAAGTTGTATTTCTCTTTATCGAGCTTAAGCTTTTACACGGTGGTGTACATATTTAATACAGATTTTATTCCTTTCAGTCCGTAAGCCACCTATTGTACCGAAAAAGCCAATGAGGCCTTTATATTGGACAAGAATTCAGATCTATACACCAGCTTCCGCCGAAAAGTAAGTATTCCACTAATACGAGGGTTGCTATTTATATTTCTGGCCTTGGCAACAGTAAGTGTTGCTAGGCGACCGCAGACGATTTTAATCGAAAATTTGATATCTTTAAACATAAATTCAGCAGACGATTTACCATTATAGCTTCATTTGTGTTGTTGACAGTAAATTGAAAAGTTCTTCTCTTTCAAAAAATGGAATTGAATCGTGAACATTTTCGTGCCATTATTTTTCATAACTTTCGACGTGGATTGTCAAGACAAGAGTGCTTCGATGAACTTAATTCTTTATTCAGCGATAAAGCGCCATCCTACAGCACTGTAAAAAATTGGTATAACGAATTTAATCGTGGTCGATGTTCGATCCAGGACGAATCCCGTGCAGGTCGTCCAAAATCCGTTGTTGTGCCAGAAAAGATCGATGCTGTGCGTGAACTGATAAAGCAAGATCGTCATGTGACATACCGTGAGATAGAGGCGTCTTTGGACATTAGTATGACTAGCATCAATAAAATATTGCATGAACATTTGAGCGTAAAAAAAATTTGTTCGCGTTGGATCCCGCATAATCTGACAAACGCTCAAAAAAAGGCTCGTGTCGATTGGTGCAAGGAAATGTTGGAAAAATACGTTCAAGGTACATCAAAGGCTGTGTATAACATCTACACAGGTGACGAATCATGGATCTATGCATATGAGCCGGAAACAAAACAGCAATCAACTGTATGGGTCTTCCAAGACGAGGCAAAACCAACAAAAGTTGTTCGAGGAAGAAGCACATCGAAACAAATGATTGCCTGTTTCTTCGGCATTAACGGTCATGTGGCAACAGTGGCGTTAGAGCAACGCAGGACGGTCAATTCTGAATGGTACACGACCATTTGTTCGCCAGAAGTCATCGGAGAAATTCGAAAAAAGCAGAAGAACAGGCGAATCATCTTCATCATGACAAAGCGAGCTCTCACACATCGACTCAAACAAAGGCATTTCTGACGGAGCGAAAGATCGAATTGATGGGTCATCCGCCGTACAACCCTGATTTGGCACCAAATGACTTCTTCTTATTCCCACACATCAAAAATAAATTACGTGGACAACGATTTTCGACCCCCGAAGAAGTGGTTGATGCATTCAAAACGTTACCTCAATCGGACTGGAAAAAGTGCTTTGAAAATTGGTTCAAACGCATGCAAAAGTGTATTGATCATCATGGAGAATATTTTGAAAAACAATAAAACCAATTTCGATCCTACATATTTGTTTTTTCATTATTAGGCCAGAAATATAAATAGCAACCCTCGTACATTCTTTTAATTTTCAAAGTATGATTGCTTAGAAATGATAGGTGATATAGGAATTTTAATATCAGGATATATCGTAATAAAACATCGATTTTTTGAGATATATTTTCAATTTAGTTATTTTTCAATAGTTTTATCCTTAACGTTCCATCCGTAGTTCAAGCTCACTTACTAAGTATAATTATAAAAATTAATTATAAATTTAATTATAAATTTATTTCTGATAATTAATTATAAAATTAATTACAGTTTGGTTATATTTTACAAACATCTTTGCACAGCGAACGCAATTTTTGAGTTTACGACTACCAATATTCAGCTCCGTAGCTTTGTAATTTTGAGCCCAATTCAGAAAACAAGGGAACTCCTGGATCAAGTTTTAAGAGAAATTTTCCATCGTGGAAAACTTTTAGGTCTATCTAACCCGTCTTTGCGTTACATGGAGAGAAAAACCTCTAAAAACTTCCTACGGTTAGTTTGACGGCAAGGGATAATTTAGGGGACCCCCATAATTTTGTTTTCAAAAATATACTTTAAAACATAAAGATTGAACGAAGTAGTAAAAACGAGCTGTATAATTTTTAACGCTCATTTACTTTTTTTCCTAATGGCAGGCACTGAATTTGAATCTTTGCCTATGAAGATGCCGGAATCGTTACTCATTTAGCGTTACTCAGTGGGCACCTGTAAACCAAAGTCACGGAGGCGAGCAACATTACCCACGCCATACTGCCACAAACCCGTTTATAGGGTGGGCCACATTCACACACAACAGAGGACAGCACAGAGAGAGAGAGAGAAACATCTATGCCCAGAGCGGGATTTGAACCCGCAGCCAATGGCTTCGCAGTCAGGCGCGTTAACCGCTCGGCCACCCGGCCTACGCTCATTTACTAAAATTCACTAAAATGTCACTTACCTGCATCATTCACTCATTTCTTCAAATATCACTTTATATATTTATTCTAATGATAAGTGCGCCTCCTAGTACCCTATTACTTCTTTTAGAGATAAAAATATGTGTAAAATATCGAATTTTTTTAAAATGCTTAATTTAATCGTGCGAAGAACTATTCAAGAATTTGATTCTGCAATATTATATCGATACTACAAAAATTTGTCAAAATACTGCCATTTGAACAAAGAAATAAAAGTGTGTTTTAAAATATCAGAAATAAATGGCTAATTTGCTCAAATCAAAATTTTTCAAAACGGTAGACTAATCAAGCATCAGTCGAAAACTATTTATCTGGTTGATTTTTTTGAAAAAAACTTAACTAGCTACCAAAAATTAGTTTTTCTTTTCATTGAAGTTTGTATGTTTTTGTTCAAAACTTCTAAGCTTTGCATAAGCATTTACTTGATTATACATTTTGTTGTTCTCGCAATGACATTATTTAGTTTTAAAAAAAATAAGCATTTTTGTTTTTAATGAATAGTAACTGATTTTATTTCTTTCATCGCTTACGGGTATTTATTAGAAGTGATCGCTTCAAGTGCAGTTTGCAAGAGATTAGTGCACATGCATTTACACTCCCCCCCCCCATGTGTTGGACATAATTTAATTGCACTACTACCAAAAGAAATCTTATTTATTTCCTTTAATATTTACTAATAAACTCCTTTTGAATATCTTTCATTTGAAGAATTCTATCTTTTTATATTCTTTAATTTCAGTTAAAAAGTTTTTGAGTAAATGTATCTTTCCTTATTTAAGGGACGGCGAGTGCCTTTGGGACAATCTAGAAGAAACAAAACTTGAAAATTGGGAAGATTTTGAAGAGCTTTTTTCTAAGCAGGTTTCCAAAAAGAAAAGTCCATGTGAAGAGAAAAAAACCACTCAATCAAAAGCCAAAGAAGTAAGATTTCCTTAAATAGTCTCAACTTTTGAACAATTCCCTCCATTTAAAGTAAATGCAAACAGTCGTAAGAAAGAAAAGTCAGTTCCCATAAGCAATCTAATTCCGGAGAATACTTTATAATTGTTAAACAAATTGGAACGAATTTTATGTACTAGTAAATTGGAAGATCAATTTTCTAGCCAGGCAATGAAACCTTACAATTATAGTATCTGTATAAGTTCATAAACAATCTAATTCTAGAGAATACTTTAAAATTGTTAAACAAATTGGAACGAATTTTATGTACTAGTAAATTGGAAGATCAATTTTCTAGTCAGGCAATGAAACCTTACAATTATAGTATCTGTATAAGTTCATAAATAATCTAATTCTGGAGAATACTTTAAAATTGTTAAACAAATTGAAACGAATTTTATGTACTAGTAAATTGGAAGATCAATTTTCTAGTCAGGCAATGAAACCTTACAATTATAGTATCTGTATAAGTTCATAAACAATCTAATTCTGGAGAATACTTTAAAATTGTTAAACAAATTGGAACGAATTTTATGTACTAGTAAATTGAAAGATCAGTTTTCTAACCAAGCAATGAAACCTTCCAATTATAATATCTGTATATGTTCATAAAAAATCTAATTCTGGAGAATACTTTAAAATTATTAAACAAATTAAAACGAATTTTATACAGGGGAGAGTCGGGTAGCCTCATCCACTTAAGGAATATTGCTTATATTTCTGTATAATATTGAGTAATAATCAATATTTTTGTATGTTTCTATTGTTTTATCATCTAATTAAATAATACAAAAAGAATAAACCGAAAAAAGAATAGTTTAACTTAAAAAAAAATAGAAATTAAAAAAATTTGACTACTGTATTCAACATATTTTCAAAACTATTGTTTACCTTGTTACCAGCTGCATCCAACTGTCGGGCGGGGGTACCCGACGTTCCCCTATACTTGACACTCCCCTACTAGTAAATCGAAAGATCAATTTTCCAACCAGACAATGAAACCTTCCAGTTACAGTATCTGTATAAGCAGTCGTCCTAATTGAAAACGATTCTTAAAAAAGAATGATACTGGCGACAAGAAGGAAACTGGCTTTTGTGATCCAGTGAGTTTTTTAGAACAGTGGGTGATATGAGAGTTAAAGGGCTGGAATGGATATGCTTTTTGAATTTTCGGCTATAAGTTTAATTCAAATTAAAATACGATTTTCTCCGAACTTTTATCATCAAATTAGTTTTTTTTTATAAAATTCTTCATGGTCCATCATAAATTATATATCTAGCAACGCAAGGACAGAATAACGGCACAGTATCAGTCTGAAAAGAACCAACAAAAGTTGCTTAAGAGTTTGACTTCACCTAATTGTTGAAACGTCATTATGACGACAGATTTTGTTCAAATGATTAGCTCTCTATAGACTAAAATATCAAATAAAAAATAATTACAAATTAAACAAGTTCAATTTACTGAGAATGAAAAAGCTGCGCATCAATTGAAAGGTACAGTTATTTTATGCACTAAATGTTAAAAAGATGTGTTGATGATTTTTGTATTTTAGGTTGCCAAATTATTGGATCAAAAACGTTCACAAAATGTTGGAATTCTCATATCAAGTCGCCATTTGGATATAAATGAAATACAAAGTGGTATGTAATCCTTTACAATTTTTTTTATAAACTACGCTGTATTTATTTAATCAAACGGAGAAATATTAAGTGCAATAGAATACAATTAATCAACTCCCTAATCATCATGTTCATGAAAAATAGCTTATATATGTTTAAAAAAAACTTTTTGAACTTACATAATAATGTCACGTTGTTCATATATGAACTTTTTCTTGTAGTTACTTCATTCACTCACAATGGTTTTGAGTTAGGAATACTAACAGCTCAATTTTCGATCAGATGACTCTGTATATGTTGTAATCGTGTAGTGAATAGCCCTTTTATTATACCTAGATATCACTTCCTGAAACCATTCTAAAGTTAAAAACGTTGGTCAGAATTTTAGTGGGCCTCCCATATGAAAAAGAAAATACCATTGTCTAAAGCAGGGCTCGAAAAAACTCAGAAATTTTACCAGTCCCCGAGGACAGCTTGTCCAACAATATACCCGTCCTCCTTTGAAACTAACCCATCGCTTCTAAATAAATAAAAATATTATTTTTTCTTATTTATTACAAACATTTATATAAATTACACAATGAATTAGTAGCTACGAGGATTACATTATACAGTAATAAAAGAAATACTATATTACTAATAGTAAAACCTAGTATTTCTTTTATGAAATAATTTATTTCTTTTATGAAATAATTTAAATGACGAAGATCAAGTTATCTGGAATGTCAATTTATCCGAGGGTACTGCGTTTTTTAAATGAATCAAATATGACGTTTGCCAGTTCCACAATCAAGCCTATGATTTACAGAGGTTTCTGCACAGAAATCTGAAAGGGGTTTTTAGGAGGATGTTCATAATTGCGTTTAACGTAACGCGCTTACGTAATGTGTTTTTTGTAAGTTCATTGCTGAAAAGCCCCTTTCAATTGCTGCAGTACTTCCAGACGGAAAAAACATCAATCCACCATGCGCAGTATGTTGTTGTACGGGATTTCTAGATTAGAGGGTCATTTTAGAAGTGAGGTGCTAGACTCTTATAAGATAACAAAAATTGAAAGTTCATCACGAATATTAACGGGAAAATGCCCGTCCGCGCTGACGCCTGATTCGAGAAATTCGTAGTCCGCGGAAAATTTTTGACCGCCGAGGACGGGTGGACGGGCGGTTTTTCGACCCCTGGCCTAAAGTGATAATGACAGTAGGGTTTGGAATCTTTTTGGAAGAATCGTACATCATAATTTTTGTGTTATACTGTGTTCTAAATACCTTCTACTTAATTAGAAAAATTAAAAAATGTAGGAAGCAAAAGCTGAAGAATTATTAAAATAAAATATACTCTTTAAATTTGAGTTATACGTCATTTTTATCACGTGCGTGTAATCAGAATTTATTTCTCAATCAAAATAGAATATTGAAATAGAAATAGAATTTGGAAATAGAAATATTGAAAATTTTTATACCTTATAGTCCCTATTATGTATTGATTTACTCGTATTTCAATAATTTCTCCCGTTAAAATGAATCGTTATTTCTTTCTTAACTTTCTTTTTACTTTATTTCAGCTTTGTATAATTTTGACACCTCTGTTATGGATATCCATACACTTCAATCCGTCTATGATACAGTAAGTTTTCACAATTTTTAAGCAATTTTTTAATATAATTTGTTTACAATAAGTTTTATTATTGGCTTATATCAATGTTTTGATTAATCTGTAGGACGATATGATATTTATAACATACGGTGTTCTTGAAAGCTTAAAATATTTCTTTCTTAAATTGTTGGAATTCTTTTTTTTTTAATTAGTTAAAATCATCTCAGCCTTTCATCCCTTCAGTGGGTCGATAAATAAATACCAAGCATGCTTGGGAACTAAACACTGGGGGTTCCGCGTTAGGCTGACCACCTAAACCGAAACATCTGCTCCTGCACCGCAGAGCCCAAGGTCAAGAAAATTGAGATGGGCACAGTAAGCCTTGGCCCTCTATGGGCTCTCGTGCCACTGAGTTTAGTTTTAGTTGGAATCATAATTTTTTAAATAATTTTTACAGGCAACAAAAGAGAACATATAAAGTTGTCAGGGGTCTGTCCAGACATTTTGTGAAAGGTCCGTTTTTCGTGAAATTGCGAAGAAATTACTCACATTCTTTCAACCAGGGTCCGCTTTTATGAATTTGTGCAAATATGGTCCGTTATTGCAAAAAAAAACTTTTTCAAGGAGTTTTTAAATTGTAAAGACATACAAGATTATGCTCAACACTGTAAAATTATAATTAAAAAAATTAAATTTTAAAAAATAAACAACAATGTCATCTACTAAATTAGCGATGCAACATGCAAATATTTGGTATTTAGCCTATACTGCTGAACGCAAAATATTCATTTCGGACGAATAATGGAAGAATCGTCTGCCGAAGACAAAACTTCGTTTACATCCATCTTTCTTGTTTTCTGCATTGGGAAGGGTTTATTCGATTAACAAAATAATAATGAAGATAAACAAATTTGTGAAGGGTCCGATTAAAAGAAAAATCATTTTGTGAAGGGTCCGTTTTTAAGTTAAAATATTTTGTGAAGGGTCCGTTTTTAAGTTAAAATATTTTGTGAAGGGTCCGTTTTTATGAAAAGATATTTTGTGAAGGGTCCGTTAACGGACCCAAATTTCTTCTAAACAGACCCCTGGCTGTGGATATAAAATATAGACTCAGCACTTTAATAATATTTACTATTAAATAAATCTAAAGTCGTTCTTCTTATCATTTTTTTATGTAACTACATATTTTTAAGTATTTAATTATTTTGATTATTTTAAAAGGTACAAACGAATCATTCGCTTATCTAATATAAAAACTGCAAAAACTGACCATTATCTCTAAATTTATTCCCTACGTCAGGAAAGCACAATTGCTAAATTGAAAATACTTATCTCGTTATCATTAAATAAACTACAAGTTACTTTGATTGTAAATTATTTTTATTTTCTTAAAGATTTGTTCTCAAAATATAGATCAAGTTTATTAAAATTCATTTATCTTTAGATGAAATTACTTTGAGCCAAGTGCATTTATGATGGAAAAAATAGTTTTTGTTGATTATCACATCAATTCAATTTCAGCGTCCAACACCCGAAGAATTGCAGCTCATATCGTCTCATCGTAAAGCCTCACCCGATGTGCCTATGGATAAGCCTGAACAGTAAATATTAATTTCATCTCATGTTGAAAAAGCAAGCTAGGATAGACTATTCCAATTTTTCCCCCCTTTGTTTTCTTCCGTTTATCCTCAATGTTACAAGTTTGCACTGCTGTGAAATATATTTGTTCATAATACTTCAGAGGGACAATTTATAAGTTTTCAATTTTATTATAGCCATCCAATTGTACCTAATTATTTACAGCATGTTTTTGATCTATGTTCTACAGAATTTAAAACATTTACAACATATTCAATTAATCTAATCTGCCTCGAAAATTCTTCCTTTCTATTAAATAAGCAATCCTACAAATGAAAAAGCGATTTAGTGGGAAATATTCTTATGGTG